GTGTATTTTCATATTTACAACAGCCCCTGGGGTGATGAACCTTCACCTCTTTTCTCTGTTTGAAGGTGTCAGGGTGAGGGAATGGGTAACGAGAACAGTGGGGACCGCTCTGGGAACGAAGTCACTTCCATGGTTTCCAGATAACAGGTCTTGAAGGACTGATGTCCAGTGAGTAGGGCTGAGAAAGCCCATTCCCAGTCCACTTGCATAGTTCGATGCTAAAAGCAGGGGCAGTTTACCTGAGCCTTAAGTTGGGAAAAATACCTGCTGTGGATGAAATAATGATGAATAATGTTTTGTAGATTAAATCTTGGGACACCGATTTCTAGAGAACTAACAGTGTTGTGCAAAATCAGTGGTCATCTTCAGTAGTGGCTCCTGCACTGGAGGGGGTGAGCTGCAGCTGTACCCATTCCTGTCGGTCTGTTGTCTGCAGACAGACCTTCCCATCCTGCAGCACTTCATTTTCCCAGTGAGTAAGCACTCACACTGGAAATGCCATTCATGCAGGAAAGGTGCGCTGGGCTGGGCTGGCCCGTGAATGTCTTCACAGAGCTGGGGAAGCTGACACGTAGCTTCTTTCCCCTGCTACAAACTGCGGGGCAGGATGGATCGCTTCCTTGCCTGAACCTCATGATCTGCATGCTGTATTCCTGGTTTAGGACCTGCAGGATATGCAAAGTGCTGACAACTTGATTTACTATTCCCTTGCACCCAGATACAGTTACTCACCCTGCACAAAGTGGGTGTAACACCTTGTGAAGTTGGGCATTTCACTATGGATCACATGCAAAGCCATGGAAGTGCTTGTTTACATGACATAGGTGTGGAGAATCAAGCTTCAGATGAGGAATGGATGGTAAACAGAAATAAGAGCGATGCCTGCCTGTTTTATGCAAACAAAATGTCTTTTGTGCTAAGGTGATATTCGTTCACTGTAGCCTTAAAGTAGGCATAATTACGATTTAAGTCTTTTTTACACTAGCAGAATAATTAATGTAAAGGTGACTCAGCCCCATCGGGAGCAGCCTTTGTACACTAGGCAGAATGTCAGGAGATTTTCACATGGGTAAAGTTTGTCATGGCTGGCGTAGAGAAATTTTTATTAACTTGTAAACCAAAAGATAGTTAATTCTTGGTTAGTCTTTTTTTTTTTTTTCCATTAGAATATTTTCTATATGTGTAAAAACAGCTAAACCTGTTGAAAACCATTCAGAAGTTTTTTCCTGACCTGTTAGATGATATGCACATTAGGTAATTGAAACTGCACACGCTCCAGGAAGATACAACCTCACCTTTCCCATTTATGGTGGGGCAGGATTGAACCTGTCTAAAACTATTTCATGCAGAGGGAGAATAAAGGAGGAAATGAATTATGGTTTTATTTGAGTTGAAGGATTAGTTGTGGGATAAGAGCGAACAATGAAACAACTTGGGAACAACACTGCCATCTCTTAAACAGTTTTATTAGCTTATGCTGATTTGTGAATTAGGAAAACCAAATTACATGATGCAAGGGAGCAAGAAATGGCAATTAAAAACCTGCAGGAAAGGACTAGAAAAACAGTGATCTCTCACAGCCTACTCTTCAAAGCAAGATGGAGAGCATGACCTTTTCTTGGAATAGATACAGGGTATTGCACAGGGCTGACTTCTAATTTTCGGTTTTGCCAATTTGCAGTTGCTTGCTTGTTCTTATTTGTTGATTGCCCTGGGGTCCAATTTTAGTATCTAAATGCTCCCAAGAAGTACTTCCATGTTCTTTGATTTGAGGTCTGTTCATCTCTCAATTACACTTCTAACCTTTCAACTCAAAGTCCCTTTTAGCACTCAAAGGCAGGGCTGTGCTGTGATATTTGAATAACCATAATGCTGTGCGACCGTGAAAAACAGCTTCCTTGCGTAACACTTCCCATTTATAGCCGAGATGTGATGGGTAACTGTGTATGTGATAATGATTCATTGATCATGTTGAAACTTCAGTTGCAAAGCCTGGTTAAAATCTAGTAGTACAGCAAACCGGCCTTCCTTGATGGTCCCTCCAAGTCATGACTCTTGCATATTCCAAGAAGGGCGTATCATCGCAGCCCATCAGATCTACATAGGAAAAAGATCATCCCAATTAGGGAATGACCACTCTGCTCTTCAGATGAGGATTGTGCTTCAAGAAGCAGCATATCTCCCTGCGCATCCTGAAGTTTGGGCCATGCTCTCTTTACATCTTCAGCGTAAAAAAAAAGCCTCGGAACATTTGCAGGCAGACGTGCCTTGCCCCTTGCAGAAACAAGTGCCTACGGGTAAGGTCAAGTTGTAGCAGATTAAACTAGCTTGTGAATTTACAGCGCATCATCTGCTCCATAATGACTGGCTGTGTGCGTGGTGCAAAGGCACCCTATGGTAAATACATTTTTCCCTGAGGGGTAGGCTACCTTGCTTCATGTCATCCCTCCTATGAAACAAAAATGCATGGAGAGGGACATCTGCCCTGGAGCACCAGTGCAGCGTGTCGCAGAGATACTGCTGTGAGTTGTTCCTGTGTTCATGCACTGGCAGGAATCTGCAAGGCAAATTCCAGAGCGATACATGCAAGATAACTGCATAGATCATAGGCAATGCTGCCTCCGGTTTCAGTGGTTGGAGCCCTGCTATTGTCAGTCAGAGCCTTGTTTAACTCAGGATCAAAATCCTAATCCTGCCTGGTGAATTTAGTGGCAGGACTTTCGCTGAATGGGGTGGGTTTCAGCCCAGTGTTACAGGCATCTGACTCTCGGGAGGCTCAGAGGAGTCCGTGCAAGCAGGAGCAGCAAAATGTGGCATGGGTGACAAGGTGCGCATGGAGTAAACTTCCCTGCTCTTAATTGGAAGCCATGTAATTTTGGCAGAAATGTTAAATGTTTTATCATAATGGAGTCCTTTAGATTCCATTTTCATGTTTCCCTGAGTGTTGAATGACAAGAGATGAAGATTAAAAAATTTAATTTTTAGGAGATTTTTTAATTGCCAAATTATTGGGGAAAAAACAGAAATAATTTTGAAAATGCTGAAATGATGCTTTTTAACACCTAGAAACAAAATGTTTTGAGTATTTTGAGCTGGCTCTTTTTTTTTTTAATCTTGAGAGCCACATAATTTGAAAAATAAATTACTTCAAAGTAAATTGTTTTGGGTTAAGCAAAATTTTGAGGGTTGATTTAAAATAGGTTTGAGGGGTTTTTTTCTCCTTTGGTCTGCTTTCTAAAGTCACAGAGCTTGTGAGGTCGTGTCTGACAGTGTGCTTCTCTGTCAGATAAGCTGTGGAGGCCTGTTTTAGTAGAGGCGGGAAGCAGTTGACCAAAGTCCTGGAAGCTGGGGCCTGGATCTCTGAAGGACCTTGTGGTTGCAGTGCCTCTGTCAACAGTGGAGTTGTACTTTCAGCTCAGAGTTCCTTAAGCTGGGAAGACTTTTGTGACAGGTATCTTGCATTGCTACAGTCTACCAGGGAGAGGATAAAGGTGTATGTAACTGAGACCAGTGGTCGTCATCATCATTGCCGGTGCATCTTGGAGAGTCCCAGCCAGCTGGACACTGGTTCCTGGATGCTGCTCTGTGAGGGCTTAGCCTCAACCAGTAAATCCAGGATCAGTCTTAGACCAAAGCTGGATCATCTAGGCAAATACTGGTTTGGGTTTTGGAAGGTTTTGTTATTGTTGGTTTTGTTACCTTTGCTTTGTACATTCAACTAAAACAGATTGTCTCAGGGCTGTAAACCTTTTTGAACAGTTATCATTGCGTGGCCTTACCTCTCCCTTCACCCATGAACTGCTCTCGCCTGTCTGTCTGACTTGTTTCCTGCCTTCATGTAGGGTGAGATTCATCTGCATTCATCTGTAGCCACCTAATCTGAGCTCAGTGTCTAGACTTACTTTATGGAGGGAGAGAAGCAGACCTTTCTAGAGCGTGATTCATTCTGTCCTAAAGCAGATGTTTAAGACAGGTCAAACTAATAATTTTCTAGATTGCCTGATTTTCTCCACTGCGAGTAGAGGAGCTTGCACTGTCTTAGGCATAGAATTTGTCCTGTCCTTTTGGTTTCAGTTCGGGGATGTGGATTCCACCATAGTGCTGATAGGATGGGATCCATGTGCATGGATCCTGAAGTTACTTGTGAAATATTTGAGGAGCCTTACATCAAGGAGATTAGAGAGCTTTTTGGCACAAAGTTGAAACTAGGTACTTAGGAAGCACAAGTAGACCACAGGAACCCAGCTGAAGGAAAAAATATCCGATTCAGACCTGTGGAAATACGCACTCTATTTTAAGTATTCTGTGTGGGGTTCACATAAAAATGAAGCCCAGCGGTTTCCCAGACCCCAGTAAAAAGGCTGAGGGTAGTCTGATACCTTGGACAGTAGGTCAAAAAAAATTAAGAAATGGTTTACCAAGAAATTCTGTCAAATAAGTATGAAAGAATGGCATGATATTAAAAACCTCAGCTGTGAAAAATGCTTCCTACTGAAGAATAGTGTGTGCGTGTGTGTATATTTTTTGTTTCAGTACTCCTCTGTTGCAATATTAGAGATAACCACGGGAACAGAGAGGTGTTTGCGTCCCCTTAGAGGAGTTCATTGAGAAAAAAATCTTCCTGTGTGGAGATCTCTGCGCACTGTGGGCTTTGTTTGCAGACACTTCAAAACTACAACCTTGAGTAGTTTTTTCTTCCTCTTGTTATGGCAACAAAGTATCCAAGAACTATTTTAATTATGTATCTGCCTCAGCAATTCTGAACTGGATTTTAATTGTTGGTAATAAGAAATACAGAGCAAATGCTTCTTCCTATCCCAGATCAGTGTTTGACGTACACTCACTCCGTACTGGAATCTCCATCCTGTGAGCTCATTAAAAAAAGCATTTTCTTCAAGGAGATATAGGAATCAATTGTTCATTTGCTAAACAGTTCTATGGATTTTCTTCTTTTTAATCCTTGCTTTCCTTTCTAACTTTGTTTTGTTTTTCTTTTACAGCTCTGTCTTAGTGTATTTGAAAGAGGAAGGCCATTGAGGACCTGTGAGCAATCCAGCAGTTTCTGAAAAATCTTCATGCGAAAGGATAATCCAGAATTCCCTGAAGAAGAACATAGTGAATGTTGTGAGTTCCTAGCAGCGATAGCATGTACTTGCCATTGTGTCTTTTGCGGGGTGGTATTTGCACTGCAGTGTTTGCTGCCATCCCTGTGATTTACTGAGCATCTTTTCACTCTGCTGAAATCAAAGGCGGGTGTGTTTGGGTCAGGAGACTTGAATTTCTCTCCCTCTCTCTTTTTTCTTTCTGTTGATGTCTTCAAGGACAGAACAGTGTTGTCTAAGGAAAGATGCTGTGTCTCTTTTCCTTGGACTGCTACAGTTATTTAACACATTCCTATCACTTTTTAGTTAGATATGTAAGCTTGCACTTGAAAGCCTTGTGACTGTGTAGCCTAACAAGAAAGAAAAATGTTACGGGTAGCAACAGTTCAGCAATCTACAGGTCTGATTCAGGAGTCTTGTACATGCTCATATAATGGTTGAAATTATTTGGCCACAGAGGAATGGAAATATGGTTGGTTGTGTCTGGTGTTCCAAACTCCTATTACTTTGATCAGTTTGTTATATTAATTTGAATATTTTGAATAGAGGTTTGTGTTCATGGGAATTGGAGTAGGACGCCGTTCAGAAAGAAACGTAGTCACGTAACTGATCCACCTGTGGCATTTAATAAAAGAAGCTGTTCTCATGAGGGATGGCTAAAGAGTTGGCATAAGTATTTTTATGTTCATTGTTTTTCTCATGAAGCCCACTGCTTTTCTGGGTTGAAATGGGCAAATGTGGAGATCCTCACAAACAGAGGAAAGCAAGAATTCTCTGCCTCACAGGTTTGAGAATAATCGTTATTTTTGTATTAAGAAGGAACCTTGGGACTTTCAAAATTAGGTAAGTTAATATTTAAATCCTTATGCCCAAAGTATACAGTGGTCTTTCAAGATATTAGTTGTGATAAAACAGTTTCAGATTCTTCCAGTTTGTGCAAATTAGTTTTTGCACTTCCCATAAATTTAGTAAATGTATTTCCTGACTGCTGGGCATGCCTTCTAAGTCTCTGAAAGTTGGATGCCCTCCTTTGCTCTGCTTTTCCCTTTGGGGCAGGCTTTGGAAAGAAGATTGAAACAGTCTCTGAGCAGTGCTGCTTCCTCAAGAGCCACTTGCAAAACAAATATTAGAGAAGACAATGAAAAATCTTCATCATCAATCCTCTTTCCCACATTTGATCTACATGAAATGGTTAACAAAGCTGACATTTGGAGTTGTTAGTTACTAGTACCACTAAGCTGCCAAGTTAGTAACTCATTAAGATGAATAAGGGGCCTGTGAGACCTGGAGCTTCTCACTGTCTGTGTATCCAAGCGGACGTGGCCGTATCAGCTCATTCCCACACTTCAAAACACTTCTCTGAAACCACAAGGGCTTACTTTTCATGCTGACATCCTAGAGCAGAGGAGGACAGCCTAAAATAATAATAATAATAATAATAATTAAAAAAAAACTGTCCTAGCATGCAAAGCTGTTGGGATAACAGGAGATGTTTGTTCAAGATGTTGCAATCACCTCCACTGATTGCAACAGCAGCACCACCTCATGCTGAGGAGAGCATTCCCCGTTCCCTGGGTCCTCTAAGGCATGTGGTGCACCAGATCAGCCAGATAAAACCTGCATGAGAGAAGTAGGCAATCATCAGCCATTACAGGGGATGGAGTATCTGTCGAAGATGCTGTTGCTATGATTATTACATTCTTCTCTTTCCTAAACGGTTTAAAGAAAGCCCACTTAAAGCACAGCATGGTGGTCTGCTATCGCAGTGCCAAAACCCCGAATTACACTCAGGAGTCCAAGGTTTGTGCAGAAAAAGCAGCACTCTTCTCACCAGGTACAGATGGAAAGAAAGTGTTCTTGAGAACGGCTATCACCCTGGCATCCAGGACCGTTTTTTTGGGGGGAGACATTTGTAGGTGATGGAGAGCTCTTTACAAATTCCTTGAGAGCGTGTTTTGTCACCTGCCTTCTGCTTGGAGGACCGTGCTGGAAGGAAGCGGTCGGCCAGGCTCCTCCTCTCCCCTCCCATCTTTCCTTTATCCTCTCAGGGAGACAGGAATACCAGAGATGAGGAGGGATGGTGTTTCTGCTGAAAGGAAATGCCAGCATACGGTGATTTTAGTGAAAAATACTGCGTGCTCTTCCCTAAGTGTTTGCAGGGTGTTGTCATGTTACGATGTGCGGAAAGCGATCAGACCTTTCCCATTGCAAGCGGTAGCTGTTGTCATCCCTTCCGCCGCCTCCTCCTGCCACCCAGGCAAATTTCAAAAGGGGGGGGGGGAGTGAGGGGGGAAGGGTGGGCAGTAAATTGGGACCAGTGTCTTGTATCCACCTAGAAACTGCCTGTTTACTAAACAGTACGAAGTTCTCGCTTCCTTTCTCCTGCTCTCCTCATTTGGATGCTGCACATTTCTGGAATAGCAGAGCTTGTACAAATCAAGTCCATATTCCTCTTTTGCAGAGAGAAAAAGGGATGTCAGGAGGATTTGTTAAGGAGGAACGTTTATTTCACTTAGTGAGGGGTAAAAACAAAGCGAGGTGCGGCTCCTTTGCTCTTGCAGAAGGGTACCTTGTGAATTCCAGCATACGGTTTTGTAATTTTCTGGTAGGATTTAGGTATCCTGAGGGTTTTTTTTCCATCCTGAAAACATATGCCACAGCTTTTTTGGAGTGCTAGCCGCACAAGCACAAACACATTCTGAGCAATGAATAAACTCTTCGTGTTCCTCACTCACAGTCATTTCTTCACTTTTTTTTTTTTCCCCACTTATGCGAAAACCTCTGGCACGGTTTGTGGGAAATAGAAAATAAATCTCTGCATCCAGTATATGTCAATAACTGAAACGTCTTCAGTTGATCTCCTATCTATGGCTGTTATTTTGGGCAAACTGCAGATGGCAGGATAGTAAATGTCCCCACTCCTCGCTCTGACAGGCTTTCCATGCCTGCCTTCGGTGGGAACCTCCTGCCCTAAGAGCTGCCCATGGAGAGGGTCTTGGGGACTATGGCCGCACAAGGCTTAGCCCCAGTCCCATCCCATTTTTAAGCTGCCACCTCCTCTCTCCACTACTTGTCCTTCCTTGTTCCCTTCACCCTGGTCCTATCTCGTCTGTACTTCTCCTCTGGCTGCCAGCTGTTTTTCCTGGCATCTCTGCCTGCGGTGGGGCTGGAGCTGATGGCAGTGTGGCTTCCTGCAGAGCCTGGCCAGTCTGGCAGCAGCCTGGGCACACCCTTTCTCCCGAGCATCACCTTCTCCGCATGCTCGCACTGTCGCTGCGGGCAGCCCCTCGGGGAGGAGGCGTACACAAGGGATGGAAATTGATGAGTAGCAAGGCTTTTTTCTGCTCTCGGCCACCTTCCGTGCCTTGAGCCTCCACGCTGGGCTTGTGGCGTAGTTGGAAGTGTTGCTTGGTGTCTGTTCAGTGATGAGCTGTGCACAGTTTGGAAGAGCAAAGGGAAGTTTTGACATACGCAGCCTTGATATTTCTGAAAGTCTTTGCTTTTGAATTGCTTTGGTATCCGTATGCTAAAGCACTTCATGGTTTTCTACGGAAATTACTAGGCTGCCGGCAAAAGAGCGAGCTGCATGTGTCCATTCTTCCAAACAACTGCCCAGTACATGCCACTTGGTATTTATAGGGAGAGGGAAAAAGGGAAGAATGGCTGTCATTTGAGAAATGTCTCTCAGAAACGGCAGTAATTTATTCCCAGGCATTATTCTTCATTAAGAGCTACAAACAGCTGCAGCTTCCCTTTAAATAGAAATTGCACTCTGTAGGCATGCTATACATAGGGCTTCAGGTTTCTGACATTTCTCTGCCAAAAATCATAAGTATTTCTCACCAAATAAATGTTTATTCAGAAAGTCTTATTTCCTGGCTTTTATTTCACATCACATGCTTCCTCCGGCCAGACAAGAACGGCTCAAGGCTGACATTTGGGAGAGGAAGCTGAAACAGTTTGAGTCTCTTGCAGGGCTTAAAAAAAAAAAGCCTCGGGCCATAACTCTGGGCCTTTGCTTGGGCAGTTTATTTTAACTGGACCTTGCAGAAATACAGCAGGGCTACCTTGTCCTAGGTGTTTCTGTGCGTCAGGTTGGCTCGCCCCTCTCCCGGCCCTGAAGCTGCCATCCTCTGTGTGCGTGGCCAGCAAACCTGCCTTGGTGGCACGCAGCAACAGGCCCATTTCGGCAGCGGGGGATCCCCCGTACGGTCAGTGTATGTACACCCACAGGCATGGCGTGAGAGCTGGGCTGTGCCTGCTTGCCCCTGCCACCCAGCAGAGAGGTGGCCGGGGTGGCTTCGAGCCCTGCAGAAGGACTTACAGCAACGAGGCTCTAAGCCACCAGCACTCAGGGACTGCTGCAGGGCCAAACGCCTTTTTAGCCACGTCCCTGCGGCTTCTTTGGGTTTACCTTTCT